AACTGGAAACTATTTGATAGGCAGCACGGCATGTTATTCCGTCGCTAAGGACCCAACATCAGCAAACAAATACATCAATGTTTTTTTCTACTTAAAAGATTCGGGGGACAACAGGTGTGTGTTTGTTCTACCTGCCGAACAGCGTGTCCATCACTAGCCGCTGGTAGGATGGCCTATCAAGGGTAATTTAGTACTGGGAACAGCAGTGGGTTATTTTCGTGAATGATATACCCGTTTAATTTCTTACCTAGCGGGCTCCCGCCACCGTTTCAGCCAGTTACAGCAATTCGCCATCAGACTGAACATGGCACCCCAAACTCGCCGCCTCGGAGGAAGAAAAGTGCGTTTTTACTCCTCAGTGGGACATGGAAAGACGACACTGTGCAACACATGGCGAAGAGGACATCCTTTACTCCAGGGTCTGCCCCGCATCCACGCAAAATAAACCGTGCCTGGCGATTAATCGGCAGCAAAAAAAAGGAAAGCAAAACAGAAGAAGGAAAATAAAGTTATTTTTTCTGATACACTATCGGCGTTGTTGTATACATGAAAAGGCCAGCTGTGAAGACGAAGCAATGTTAAATCTCTTTGTCCCTTTGCTGTAGTACTCTCACATACTGATGCAACGTCCCAGCCAAACCTAACAGCACCATCCAATATTAGCAGTTTCAAAGCAGATGCCGGGTTGTAGTTTTGTTTATTTTAAAAAATAAAAACACGAATCCCTGGGCGTAACGATCCATTTAAAGAAGAAGCGGCAGAAGATTATGGAGCAGAAAAAGACGACAGTAGTCCTTGTTTTCCGATTTAAAACTAAACCAAACGGTCATTCGTGAATACAGAAAATAAAGATTGCCGTGTACTGACGTCGTACAAATGTAGGTATGTTTTTTTTTCCCCCCGCCTTCAAGCACGGAAAGAAAAAAAAGTCACATGCAGCTTGCAGGACGAAGCTAATATTACCGGCCTTCTCCGCTTTGTTTACACCGACGCCCAGCCTGCTGCTATAGCTGCGGCCGTGATTGCGTAGACGCACGACAGACGCAGCACCCGGCGGCTGGGGGCCGCGTCAGCGGCTCTGCCTCGGCGTAGCCGCTGCGCCGCTGAGCGCGGAGAGGTTCATCTGTTTCAGAGCAGGGCGGTCAAGACGGCTGCGATCCGCTGTTCAACGCGGGCTTTCGAATTATCTCTCAGAATATTAAAGATAACCGCCACGTAGCGAACATACCTTTTAAGATCAGGGCAAAAGGCGACGTTATAAATATTAAAATGATTTAATTTCGCAATTAAGTGTGGGCTTCAGGCAATTGTTGCAATGGATGTGGATTTTCATTTCTTTATTTTATTTCTGAGTTCTGTTGCCGAATTATAAATAGTTAGAAGCTGGTGTGCCAAATCGACTATGACAAAATTGCTTTAATTTTTTTTCTTTCTAAATACCTATTAGCAGTCTGGTGCCAATGCAATACTTATAAAGTAAAGTACAGCATCATTTAAAATAAATACTAGAACATCATTGCATAGACCTTAATGAATTATTTGGCTGTCTGAAACACTGTAATCAGTGTGTAATCACACTAGAGCTGCATAACTTGGCCATTTCAATATGCTATAGCATTTATTTCAGATAACCGTTTCTTTTGTTTTCAATTTTTGTACAATTATGTTCACCTTTCTTTAATTAGAATATGTTTTTCTGCAAATGCCCTGAGACTTCAGCTTTCTAATGGTTCTGCTCCCCTTTTCCTTACAGTAAATGAGCATTTGTACTTATATTCAAGGACCTTTATAGCATGGATAGTTTTTGATTCTTTCAAAATAGTAAGTACTGAAAACCTACAGTATATATGTATGTACAGTATGTAAAGTATATGGAAATCTGACTAAATACCTGTCACTCTGGGCTTGTACAATCTGCCCTTTGTAAAATTTGTTGTGTGATTTGAAAGGCAATTGGTTACGCCAGAGCTAATGTACAATTATTATTATTTAGGGAGGTGTAAAGTACACTTACCCTTCTCATGTTTCTAAGTTTTCATTTGTAAATACCTTTCAGATGTATGAGTATTTGTTTATCACTTAGAGTTTGTGTACTACAATGTATAAATAAATAATAATGTGTTACTTTGAAAAGGGTGTATAGACTTTCTGTAGGCACTGTAAGTCCTAACTGAATCATGTAATGCTTCTCCATAGATTTGAAGCTGTTGCTGATTAAAGAAGGCTGTTGTGTTGTGTTCTTTTGAGTCTGTGGTCTTCTAGGAGAATCAGAATTTGGTATCCCAACCTGTAAGATGTACAATGCACATGAAGGAACGTAAGTGCCAGATACAGTATATACAGTACAGCAGACATTTTCAATTGTATGATGAACTGTATTTCACAAAGCTTCCCTTTTTAATCAAAATGAAAAACCTGTTGGGTTTTAGAATCACATTATTCTTTTCATTATGTTGAAACAATTGAAAATGGTAAACTGTCACACATTTCTGGATTAACACAATTTACATAAAAGATCATTGTATATTCTTTGAGCTGCATTGCTTCAATGAGAGGTAAGACTGTTCAAAATGCTGTACCTGAAGTAAACACCAGAGGGAACTGTAAGAAAAGAAATTCCACCTGAACTTACTAAGCATTCAAATAAACTTTATTTATGAAAGTATACAGATTTCACATCATTTTGATTAATCATTCATTACTGTGACAACTCGAGTGACTGTTGCTTAATCCTTACATCGCCTCATTAGTGAGAGGATTGATCGGGCACAAGTAATGAAGTGATTTACCCTTTTGAATGTCACTCCTGGTCAAAATCAAAACAGAAAAACACAAAAAGGAACCAATAAGCCTGGCCTGTCAAGAAAACAGTGCCCCTGTGTCATCAATATGTTGTTGGGGCAGCCCATCAAGGGGAATCACCACCACTGGACCCAAGTCCCGGTTTTTGACTAAATAAGTTTTTTTGCAGACTATCCTAATGGATGTCAGTGAGAGTGGAGTAGACACATAGAATAATACATTCATTGTTGTGTACAACAGACAAATCAATGGTCTGGGCAGGAGTGACTAATCACTACAGAACTACCAAGGTATTGATGACTGAAAACCTGACTGCGCGGCACTACATTGATCACGTCCTGGGGCTTAACTCACTGCCCTTCCTGTAAATTCAACAGCACTATTGTTACTGGACAATACAGCAGTCCATTACAACAACACATGTCCTCATGTGTCTGTTGTAACAACAGCTTTCTGTGAAGAAAACAAATATGAAAGTGATATTAAGGATGCTCTGTTAGCCAGAGTTAAGCCCCGTGAAACATCTGTGGGATCTGGGGTTCAGAGACCAGGGCACAGAGACTGTACATGTTTGCATAGGCTCTGAGAAAAAATAAACAATAAAATTCGACAAGACAGAATTTGCAAACTGGCGCAAAGCAGACAGAAATGTACAGCTTCTACTTTTTTCCAACATTGGCCACACATGTGCTAGCTTTTGACATTCACATTAGACAGCAAGTTGCTCAGCCCTATTGATGGCAAATGTCAATCAGCATGATGAATCTGTCATGTCATGTCTGTTCAATTACCTATAAGTGCAAATGTTATTTTTCAGAATAAGAATGCCTCCTACTCATGTTCTTGTTTAAGAATCCAGTGATTTAATGACCTAGGTATACTGGTTCTCTTAAAATAAAAAAAACATCTAGATATCTCAATATGCCAAGCATTGTATAAGCTGCAGTTGGCTCACTCTATTACCACTGCAAAAATCAACTTTGTGAAAGAAGTGCTGTTTTTTAGTGGAAAAAGTCAAACATCATTCCCCTCGTCATGATTGATTTTAATTTTGCTCTTGAATCTTTTGTATGCAATAACATTCCAGAGACTAAATAAATTAACTTTACACAGTCAAGGCCCTGCTAAAAGCTCATTCAACTTCTCTGGAATTAGGAAAACCCAGATGGTTTTCCTAATTCCAGAACCAAAAGGTTTTGATGTTTAACTTGGTCTTGGCTATTTAACAATCTTGTGCAACTGTAAGAGCTGCTACCTTTTGGATGCTCTAGTATTCTCAAAGAGAACCTTCAGAAATTCAACCTTCAGAAAACATTTTATATGAATTAATGAAATGTCATAAGAATTTAATGACTTATTAACATTTATCATGTAAGTTATTTAGTAAAATTGAATTTTTCTCATTATTTAATATTAATATTAAGAGGTGGTACTGCAAGATTATATAATGTACAGTACTTGTCTTATTTTGGCGCAGTTGAGGACATGGTTACATTATTGTTTCTGGGGTTTTAGTGTTACTGTATAGTGTTAATGATATTTGAAAGGGGTAAATTTTCGCTTAGACTTTCAATTATTTCATTTCCAGAAATAATGCTGACCACCCAAACCCTAAGCACCTTACATTACCGATTGCACAGTGTAGGACCAAACAGAAAAAAGACAAATTTCAAAATTCACTATTGTTACTGGACTGCAGCCATACAAAATTAGCAGACCAGGAAATTCTCTTTCAATAAGTGTGAACCCAGGTGTGAAATACGGACCCTTGAATTCAGTGCCAATGGCAGATCTTTTGTCATGTCAGTACCAGTCATGTCGAAGAGCTCTGAAGTAGCATCGAAGGAAACAAAGTAACAGCTGACTGAAGACGAGTCCACTTTTGTTAATGTCTAGTGCCTTGACAAGAGCAGCTTACAGCATCATTAACATCAATGACACAGTCTGACACTGGCTTGATAGTGGTAGATGCTTTTTCCTAAAGCTGTCAACAACAGTGACCTATTGTAAGTATCCTGCACATTATCACATCAATCCCCTTTTTCCTAGTAGCAAGACTAACTAATTGTTCAGTCCTTGCACCTCAACATCCACATCCTTGGTGTACATATGATCCAAAGTTATGATTTCATCTAATATTACACTGACAAGATGAAACTTATAGTGACAGGCAGAGAGACCGTAATCATCTAGTCTTGAATAGAGACGGGAACCTGAAGAAAGAATTAAAAATTATTTTAAAACTGACAAAATCTGAGCAGTGGACTTCAGAAGTAGCAGTAAAATGTGAACTAGAGGGCACAAGTGGAAACTAACTGGAAGGGCATTTAAAACAGAGAACGGAGTAGGTGGGGGCACGTCTTCACACAAAAGGTCGTAGGAGTATGGAACAAGCTACTCAGCCAGTACAACTGGATGAGATATTTGGATCTCTTATCTTTTCACTACCAAATTGCTAAGATGGGCAAAATAGGCTCCCAACATTGGTAACTTTTCTTACGTTCATATATATATACTGTATACTGTATAGTGCACAAGGCCATGCTTGCCTGAGACCATTTTCAGCTAGTCATCTGTGAATTACATTTATGTTAAGCCCCCTAAATTTACAATATTTACTAAGGGAATTTTTGTCTGTGCTTTAATCCAAAGCAGCTTGTACAAACAGCAAGTACAATGAATTAAAATGCAGAGAGAAATCATTTGAAGTCATAGAAGAGGAACAAGATACATACGTTTCATAGTGTTATACAGGAATTTGTACATTGCAGGGTAGTTAGTCACTCAATGAAGTAAAAACACTAAAATAAACATTTAAATTCAATCATCATGTATTGTGCCAGTTTTTAACAACCTGGTGAAGTTTCTTTATAGCTCATTTAAGCATCTTTAAGCATCATTCTTCCTTCTGTGTCAGAGACTGTCCCTGACACAATACACAATGGCAACATATGGGTGACTTTGTTTTTGTATTAGCTAGGCTTACAGTGTTGGCTTTTTTACACACCCAGGATATTTATAATGAGACAAAGCAAACTCATCAACTTTAAACATCCTTCAGTACATCAAGGGGGACAGATTACATGCCAATATGGCTTTTTAATATTGTTTACTCAATGGAGTCAATTCTCTTAACCTTGTTACACACAGCGGAGCTGAATCAAAGACTTCTATTTTGGGAAAGATAAGTAGTAAAATTGCATTATGTGCTGCTTTTGCTAACATAATCAAAATCTAAATCGTATTTATGATTGGAGGCCTATTTTATTACACAAATTGGATTG